CCAATCTCCGAGCACCGTACGACGGCAGCGCGAGCCACCAAGATAAAAGAAGATTTAACGCCCAATCGCTGATCAAGCCTCGTATCCCGTGTCGCCCCGTAATCGTTCGCCGAGAGAACACAAACGCCGGATCCCCCCGTGACCGTCGACGTCACTCACGCACACCTAGTAACCCGTTGGTTGTATCCTGTGCCCGTCCGATCGGTTTAGACCCGGGATTCCACGGTAACAATGTTTGTCAGTCGGACGCGTGACTCTCGCCGGGTCGCATACCGAAATCGTCGTTGATCGCGCGCCGCCCATTCCGCCGACCCCGGTTGCGTGGAAGAGTATCGACCGAGTATCGCAACGATTCTCGCAGCCGTATTATCTCTTGCTCCGCATGCAACGATAGAAAATAAAAGATTAGAATCGCGAATTCCAGCTGGCCGAAGGATTCAAATCGGTCTAGCTAGAACAGCTGACCCGGGATTTAGAGTTGCGACAAGCTGAGAGGTCTTCCGGTCCGATTCACCGTTGCTTCTCTCACCATGCACTGGAAACTGCTCGTTGTTGTTGTAGCGGTGGCCAGCGCCGCCAGAGCCTGGGACGTGGGAAGCGGCCTCAAGTACAAACTCATGACGACCTTGCTCTTCAGCGAGGCTGCCCCCTCGAAATCCAGCGGGGACGTTGGCTTGAGGCTCACCGGCGAGCTGGACGTAACCGCCGTTTGGCAGGAACCCACCGATCACGATACCTTTCTGCTGAGGATAGAGGTACGGGAATACTTTTTGTTGGCTATGGGTTTTGTGTTTTTTTTGCTTAGAACTGAGTCATTGTTGTAGCTAAGAGTTGTATGGTTGTAAACGGAGCAAGTTTTCGTGGAATCTGTTAGCGTTAGGTATTATTAGAATTGTTGGAGATCGGCGTTTGTATGTGATTATTGGATAAGCGGATTGTTGTCTGTTGGGTGTCTGATTTGAATGAGAATTTGAATGAAAACTATTTGTTTGGTGAAAATTGATTTTGGTAGATGTTTGACCTTAGGATTTATTTTTTAACTGTAATCAATATAAGTACTTTATTATTAATAATTTATTAGGTAAAAAGTTTTGATGCTTGTTCTATATTTATATTTATTCTCAAGGTTAACGATAGATAATAGAAAAGTAATATTTAAGCTATATTTAAAGAAACTAAATATCATTTAGATTTGTCAAATTCAGTTTAAAATTTTCATAATGAGTCTTAAGGACACGATATTATAGGTCAAGGGGTTAAGTGGTTCTTCTGCACTTGTTTAAATAATTTATTTAAATTTATTTGAATAATTTATGTTTTATATTAATAATTCTAGTAATTGAGCTGTAATTGTTCAAATAATTTATCTTAATTTATTTAATTCAATTTCGCAATCACATTTTTGCAGATAAATAATTTTGTTTAATTTGGGGATAATATTTTGCTCTCATAACGTGTAACTTTGTTTCCATAAATAATCTACTTATCGAAAGAGGTGATAAATGTTACGAATATATGTACGCCTCGCATGAAACTGATAACCTTTTCCGTAAATCGTTCCTTTCAAGCACGTCATGTCGTTGAGTTGATAGTAAAATGATGTATTCTCAATAGAATACTTATAATGGAAAATTCTCTTTTTGAATTTCATATCAAATATCTTGTTATGGTATGATGGAGTAATACATTGCATGTCTCATTGAAAATAATACATTACATCTCACGTATTTTATTTAAAGTAAATAAAATAATTTAATATATATATATTTTAGATAACTGCATTCGAATATTTAATTACTGTTTTTGATACGCTACTGTAATAAATCAAAATAAAAAAAGAAAAAAAAGACAAAATACTTTCACTGAAATACAATCTTAAATTTAATTAATGATGAAACAAATTATATTTTAATCCATAATTTAAACTTCACGAAATTGTAATGCAATGGAAAATATAAAATAAGCAGTAAGTATATACCTGAGTTTTAGTATAAATTTTAAAAGTAAAAGAATATTTCTTCAAATTTAAATTTAAACATTTTGAATTTTCTGTTGTATATTTCATAATCTCAATCACGTTCAAGACAAAATAAATAGTTAAGCTAACAGCAAAAGTTACGATTCAAACAGAAACATTTTAAAATCATCTCTACTGAACTCTAAATATTAATAAGTGCAATAAGAATATTATCAATAACCACTTAAATAAATCAAAACAAATATCAATTCCTTACCGTATAACATCATGTAAGATTCGTGGTGATGATTTCAAACAGAAATGACAAACGTAAATATTACTTGATTCCTCCGAATTCAAATGAAATATTATTCTTCGTTATCAATTATTATATTTCAGAGTAAATATATATGAGAATAAGTAGAAACAAGTAAGCACAGACATTTTATTATTTGTTGCTATAAACGAAAATATTTAACATTAATCGGTAATATTCAGGCTTCCATACTCAACGGTTAAGTTCACGACCATACTTAACCCTTTGCACTCGAGAGCTCGGGGGCAGAACCATTTAAAATTTGTAATTACAAATTGTAAAATTTTGTCATTAAATATATTATAACATTTACATCTATGATTGACAAAAAACAGCAAAATATATCTAAGACTTTCCTTTTCATGCGCTTATCATTTATTTATACGTTAATTTGCTTTTTCTATTAAAATTACTTCGAGTTGCTGGTAATGTCAATGAGAAAAAGCTTCGAGTGCATAGGGGTTGAGGGTTAAATAAATTATTAATAACAAAATGTTTGTATTGATCACAGTTGAGAAAGAAATCATAAGGCGAGGGGTTAAATCACAATAAGAGCAATAATTCAATTAACATTTTTCCGCAGCTTCACTCGCCACAACTATGGATTAAGTCTCGCAGAGCCCCAGAACCGGAAGGCTTCATCGAACATTCTTCCAAAGTGGACGCTGCCGGCAAGAAGCCATTATTCCTGCTATGGCGACATGGCGAAATCAAAGAGATCTACATGCACCCATCGGAGACTGTTTCTTCAGCGAATTTGAAGCGTGGCCTGGCCAGTTTATTCCAATACAAAGTGTTCGATGGCGACGTTCAAGAACGAGACGCTTCCGGTCTGTGCAACGTGACCTATCACTCTCTAGGCCCGAAGACAGTAGCGAAAGAAAAAACTTTCTGCGAGCAAAGTACTCTGCCGTTAAAGAGTCGCCATCCGAATCCACTTTTCGACGTGAAGGTCGTTAGCAATCGTCATTCCACTTACGATCTTACGCAATACCTCCTGCCAAACAAGGTCCACGTCGAGGAAAGACATAAAATGGTGCTGACCGCCAGACCGGAAGCCGGGACTACTGTTATATCGGATGGGATCCTTGAACTGGTCCCTGGGACCTTGACTGCGAAAAGTGTTCAAGCTGACACCGCGATGGAAGCCATCTCTTGGTTGCAGTCTGGATTTAAAAAGACCAGTATCGAGCTCCAATTGGAACCAGCCACGTGTCCCACCGGCGGATGTCAAACGGTTAGTTTAGAACGGGTCTTAGGTGATCTAATGAAATGTTGGTTGGATGGAATAACTGAGAGGTAGTATTTGGTTTAGGAATTCAGAATGATTGGTTTAATTTGTTGTAATTAAGGAATAGATTCTGAGCATAATATTATAATAATTGAAAAGGCGTTTTAACCCTTTAACTACGGCTGTCGTCAATACACGATGGTACGAAATTTTCATGAGATACGGCTGTCGTGTATAATAAGCGATTTGATGAATTATGCCGGGAACGAGAGTCGCTTATTAACTTTTATTTATTTTATTGAGATTGTGTCGATAAAACAAACGCGTAGAATGTTTATGTTCATGTATTATGTACATAAATTATCACATATAGATAAGAAATGAATATATCAGCATTTGTACAACTTTCCTTTTTTTTTGCATTTAGATAGACACATTTGTGAACATACACCAGTAGCTAAATGGTTAATAGAATATTTGTAACGAAGATTGTCAGTAATATTTGTAGTGATTAAGAAATAATTTATTCATTTTGAATATTTGATTGTTAAATTAAGAAAATTTATTTAAGTTAGTAAATATTAAATATCTTTGTGTGTCTTTAAAGTTGTAGACGTAAAATATTTAAAAAAGATCTTTTTTGAAGATATCTCATTGTGAAGATAAGTATAAAAGAAGAAATGAAATGAATATATTTTATTCCATGTTAGGAATTTTTCAAATCACTTCAATTTTTTACATAATTTTGACGATAATTTCGGAATGCTTAATTTTTTATTTCAATTGTGTGAGAGTTTCACGGTGAACATTTTTAAATTTCGAATTAGAGTGTTATGAATTTCTTTTCTCTTTGGTGCATGTTCAATGAATAATTGTCATAGAAATTTTATATAAGATACCAAATATTAATGAAAAAGACTATTTTTAGTTAACGTGAGCATTTATCATGTATACGTGTATTACTCACGTGTCATAAATAAACAGATTAGAGGTAACGTATGACAAAGTTACCAATTCAAAGAAGAATAATTATAGATTTCCCGGCATATCTAGGTTTCATATGTTATTGGTTCTGGCGACGGGACAATCTTTAGATCAATATACAATATATACATTGCGTTGAAATATCTATGAAGGACATCAATAAAATGCCTCCAAGTTGATAAACTGCAGTTGAAAATATGCACTAATATAAGTTTTATGAATAACTAACAGAATCTTATTTTTATTCGAAGCATATTTTATTAGAACTTATTATACTATTATCTTAAAAATGTTTTTCCTGAAAATGTAAAATATCTTTTAATGAATTCGACTCGAAAAACTGTAAAGTTTATAAGCAAAATTATTCTACTGTTCAGTAAAAATATTATATAAGACTGCTATTATGTTGACTTTTTAGAATTCAAAGATATATCTTTGTTTGAATGAATAGAACCACACAAAGAGTTTTTCAATGAAACAATATAACTTCGCCATTATATTCCATCAATACAGACTAGAATAACTTGTTATATAAACATACATGTGGAAATTCTTTGTTATCAAGGTATTCAAAAACTATTAAACATAATAATACTAGAACGATAGCAAACTTATCTTTCAAACAACAAACATACACGCATTTACCAAGTAAATTTTATTTCGAAAAAAGGAAACAGTATAGATTTACAATCAAATTTAATATGTAAATAATACGATTAAAAAGCAATTAATCTATTCATTTGCCGACACGATCAGCTCCTTAGAACGAAAAGTAGAAAAATTTTGATGAATTTGCACACTTTGCATCATTTTGATACTGAAGTTTGAAAGCATTTCAAAAATAGAATTAATCTCTTCGATTTGCGAATGATTGAATTGTCCAATATGATAAATTCTATTATTTAATTGCACGATTAAACCAAACAAATAATTTTCCTTTCAGCTTGAACAATTGCTCGAAGGAAACCGTAGCGCCCTGGAGGCTGCCTCGCTGGGTACCGGGAAGTCCGCTTCAGCCTTCCTGAAGCTGTTACCTCTAGTCAAATCTGCATCCGCGGAAGAACTGTTGAAAATCTTGAAAAGTCCGCGTTACCTTCAGCTGAAACCGCAACTGCTGGATATTATTGGCTCCTCGTCTACAATGGCAGGTTACCAAGCAGCCATGAAGGCCTTGAGACAGGACGACGTGGGCGACGACACTGAAAGATACCTGTGGGGCCTGTCACTCTCGCCAACGCCCAACGCAGACGTCATGAAGGACATTCTGAAGCGATCCGAAGAAACTATTCAAAACGAAAAAGTCTCTGAAACCTTAGCTCTAACTGCAGCAGCAATGGCTCGCCATTTGGGATCTCCAGCCGCAGTCGAGAAAGCTAGAACCAGCTTAGAATTGGGTCTAGATAGCTGCACAGGCGAAGAATGCAAACTAAAGTTCCTAAGAGCTCTCAGAAATCTGAGGAGCACAGCTTCCATTCCAACTTTATTAAAATTCGCCATCAGCAAGGATAAAGCCATCAGTATAGCAGCTTGGAAGGCTCTGGCAGTTATGCCCAAAGATTCTATAACAGATGAAGTGAAGGTGGTTGCTAAAAGGGTCTTCTACCAGATTGGTGGACCTAAAAGAGACAGCAGCGTTAGGACCGCAGCATTGGACATAGTTCTTGAGAACAATCCTTCGAAAGAGGACATTAGGGGACTGGTAATGTACCTAGCTAGCTCTGATTCAGCGTACGAGATCCGTAAATACTTGAGCCAGCGTTTAGAGCAGCTTTCTGCATTAAATCCTAAATTGGCAAAAGATTACAGTGACATACTAAGTGAAAGTGGAACGAAAGTGGTAAACTACGATGTTTTTGCTCATCGTGGACTGAGTACAGCTTTCACAAGAAGCTTTTTAAATTCACCAGACAGCAATGGGTCCTTAGTAACTGTTCAAGAAATCAACTCAGGGATATTAAAACGAGGAATCGTGGACGTAGTCTTAGAATCAGAGAATCACAAAGAGGCTCTATTCTCTTTGGGACTGTTTGCCGGTGGTTTAGGAGGAATTGTGTCCTCCAACGACGAACAAGAATTGCAAGAGGATGAACATGCTACTGCTGGAATGGAGATAGACTTTCTAGGAGTTGGTATCAGGCCGTTTATCTTTTTCTCTGGTAAAGGAGAGCTAATGGGTCACTTCTGGTCCGGCACAGCTTCCGAAAGGACTCCAGCATTCCAGGTGTTGTCTTCCGTTCACAGCTACAACGAGTACATTCCATTGACATCTGGCATGGTAGCAGAGATGGATGTTCAAGGAGCAGTGAGCTTTGACCTGGCAGGACAAATCCAAGTCAGCTTATGGTCCAGGACATCTCAGTCGTTAGTGGATCTGACAGCTGGCATTGTGATCCAAGGTGGCAGCAAAGTACGCTCAGACTTTGTCCAGAGCACTGCTGAATTCTCCATGACGATGGAGCCCAAACTGGAGTTGGCTACTGACGTAGACTTTTCTGGACCAGGTTCTTTATGCATGAGGCTCAGTCAGCCAGACAACGTGGTCAAGCATCAAATTTACAAAATCGAACGAATAGCTGGTAGCAGGCATAAACTGAGGAAAACCAGGAGGTTGAAACTGCACAACCCGGGCAGGTCTTATTTCTTGAACAACAAGAACAACGAGATGTGCTCGAAGATCATAGGTGATGCTGCATGATCGTTGTTTATAGGGGACTTGATAGGATATTACGAAGACAATTTTATCTGAATTATTTTGATAGAGATATGATTATATTTTACGGGATACGTTGTTTCTCCGCCATCCGTCAGTAATGTGCGACGTGTTGAAAAGTGGTGTCACGTGCGAACGGACGTGTGTTCTTTGCATAGGAGTTTAATGTATTTTTAAACTGTGCGCGCGCGGTTCACTGTGCTGTGAGAGACAGTGTTTCATTGATAAAAATCACTCGAAGTCATTCCGATACCAGCGATGGATCGTTTTCATTCGACTACATTTCCAACGATTTTTATGTATATTTTTTATAATGACATTTTCTACTCGACATGCTTTGAGAAATGTGTAACCTTATGGTAAAAATACTTTGTATTTGAGATCTTGAAAGTTTTACCGTATCTTTAAGCGTCGAAGTGTTTATGGAGGTTTGTTACAATGTTTCGAGTATCAGAATGATGGTTTTTTAAATAGAAGTTTAAATAAGAGTCCAGATAACGTTTCAGAGATTCATTGACTAGGGACCAATTTCTACATGATGTTGAAAATGTACAGATATATTTCGTTCACGTATTATATGCATACTCAGAATTAAACAAGAGAGTTTCGATTTGATAATTTTGTAATAAAACGATGGTTGTTTTTAAAACGATGCGAACTGGATGGTAAATATACTATGCAAATTATGGGACTTCTTTTATCACACCTTTTTCTCCAGTTTTTTGTTGTAATTTTCTCGGTTTCTATACGCAATACGAAGAAAAAGATTATTTAAAACGATCAGTAATAAATATTCCATTTTGTTTTAATCGTATGTATTAATTTAAAAATTAAATTATCACTTTTAAATATTATTTTCATTTTCGTGTAAGATTTTATACTGTAAAATTCTTAGTACTATGTATTTGAACAATCATGAGCATTAGAGTAGATATTGCTACATGTAACCATTTATTGATACTTCACATTAAGAAGTTATAAATCTTGGTAGATTATTACGTTGACTTTTAAAAATAATATATAAAACACGGTAAAAAAGTACCATATACCTATTTTCATCATCTGATATAACAAAAAACGGTCACATTCTGCATGGTTTCTTTTTTTTAACACACTTGTTAACACAATTCATCTAACCAACCAAGAATAAAATTCTTGTAACTGTCATACACCAGAACTTAACACTTAAAACTTTTAAAAAACACGATAACCGTGAAAATAGCCTAAACTAATCCAATCATTCATCCCTTATTCTGTCGACTGTCTCAATCCTCTTACGGTCCATCAAATTACCGACAACCACATTCAGCAACAACCATGTCCTCATAACCATACTGATAAGTCAACGTCCCACTAGCATCAAGATACAACAAACTGGTCGGCGCTAGCCTAGTCGGCACGCAGCAAGCTCTTCCTACAGGTTTATTAACACCCTCGGCACCTTGAAGAGCCCCATGCACCAAAGTCTGCACAATAGCATGTTTCGTGGGGCTCAAATGGTCCCCAAAAGGGTAAAAACATTTGCCAGCACACTGATACGCTTCATATCCAGGTGGAGCGACGACCCACTCGTCGTAAGCAATTAACGCGAAATCAACATACAAAGGTCGTCTTCTGCAAGAATTCTTGCGTCTTCTACGAGGACTATCATCGTCTCCCTGTTCCTCTTCTTGAACGGATCTGCGTGGCCTCTTTTTCTTCATTTTGCTGTAGCTCAGTAGCAAAATCGGCCCATCCCCATAAGGCTGGTAGCTAACTCTACCATAGACGCGGAGTCTAACCATGCTGCCATCCCTAGTGTTCACGCCAGAAGTGACGTTAAACGCTCTCCAACTATCCTCTCGCCTCGATTTGCAACTTTCTAGTGTGTTCACATGATCCAGACGTACTCTGAGAATAGTCCCAGCTACGCCGAGCAATTCAGCTACCTGTAGAGTCTCTTCAGCGTCAACTGGCGGTACTGAGAACATTAGAATCCTAGCTCCATCACGAGTTGGTCCTGTCACGTGGACAGGTTGCAATGCTCTGACTATGTCCACGTCGGATCTACGATGGTATAGTTCCAGCATGTACTTGGACACTGTGCCCCGATACCTCTTGTTTATCCTGTCGCTGAGTTTCTTATTAGTTTTGTTGTAGAAGCGATGCAGTGCTGAGGGAGAGGACGCTGGGATTGATAAGTCGAATTGTATCGATGCTTTAGCGTGCACTGTGGACTGCCAGGAGAGCGAGCTGGTTCGCCATAGACCGTAGATGCTGAAGATTCCGGTGAAAAGTAGCAGTAGGTATTGAGAGGAACTCATGATGAAATACACTTTGAGATTGGTAGAGGTAGAGTTTGGTTTAGAGAAATGAAAAATCGAATGATATCGATCTGATGCCGGTTGGACTCTGCATCGGACTGCAAATGAATCCTTGGCTGAGTGGCCCCGGGTTGAAGGACTGCGTTTAAATAGCCGCCAATCGAGAGCAACGGTTCAATGCTGCCCCTGGAATGTCCTTATCGTCTACAAGCTACCACTCGACTTCTAGTTACCCCATGGTCTTTTTCTGTTGATGTTTTTTTGGATATTTGTCGTATTTGTATAAAAGAAAGCACAGTGGTTAAGGAATGGAAAACGCAATTTATTATTTTATTCAGTGCAAACAATTAATAATTTCTATTTAGTTGATTAAAAAGGAAGAAATGTATAAAACTGATAAGTTACTAACTTTAATAACTGTACTGTCAAGAAAAAAAGATTATTGCATTCTTTTGGTATAACATGATTGTAACTTTTAAATTACTGGATATATTATTTAGGAACGTAACTTATTTTATATTAACGTATTTATAAATGGCAAAAGTTTGAAATCTTAGAACATTTTTTTATTTAAGTGATTTATTTTATAAACTACTATTAGTTTATTTTAAGGAGGATGTAAAAATATTTTGGAGCGCAAGATAAAGAAAGAGAGGTTGTGAACTATTTCATCTTTAAAATTGATTCACAAAAATTAAGATATGTTGCCCAAGAATGTCAAAGTGTCAATGAGTTCATTAGTACGTTTCAGAGTCAGGTATCTCATATAGCTTTCCACTCTCGTTATACGGATTATCGATCGCCAACACTCAAAATTGTATTTGAATAAAACTGCATATTTTATTTATAATTGTATCAAAGACATACGTAAGAAAAGACATAATTAATAACAGATAAAGGAATTCCTCTTTCACAGTAAATCTATCCCTACTCTTAACATTAATGACAGAGAAATAGACTGCAACTAAAATAAACAGTAACCATATTTCTTAAACTAAGTCTAAAATCTTGACCACGACTTTTGTCATTATAAAACATGATTCTGATTTTGATTAATTACAACAGATTCCACTAACTAAAAACTACTAATAGGAAAGATAAAATATTTCAAAATCTCTTTACAAAACCAACAATTCCACAAATATATTTCAAATTTCAAGTACTGTAAGTTTCTAACTATCCACAATCCAGATAGTTCTATAAATTGTCAACAGAAAAAATAAAACATTTCAAACTCTTTCCATAAAGCCAATCATTTCATAAATATTTGAAATCTTGAATACTACAAATTTCCAACTATCCACAATCCAGTTAATTTGAGAAACTATCAATACCAAAAATCAAATATTAAACTCTCTTCAGAAAACCAGCAATTTCACAAGAAGATTAAAATTTCTGATTCTATAAATTCCCAACTATCCGCAATCTAGGAGCGATCTACCCTAGGTCCGTTTGATCGATGAATCCAAGCTAGCGATACGATCTATCGGGGTGAAGTGAGGCTGTACAAAGGCTACGAGAGAGCGCACTTTCACTGTTTCGCACGTTTTCGATCACGCCTGCGTGTCTGCGGCCGAGGGAAAGCACGGGGTTGCTGGTAAGGGTCGTTGCAGTGGGCGACATCGATTCGGAAGCTTACGTCACGGCCGCTGCACGAGACGCCAGTAAAAAGCCGCAGCGCGTGCTACCGGTAACGTCGTCGTTATGCCGTGCATCTGACCCTAGTTTCCTTCGCCTGGCGCTGGCCGGCCGCGACAACCTTTTTTTCTGCCACTTCGCGCAGGGTGGCGAATCCTATCAGTCAGTCTGCCAGGAGGATCGCGCGACGACCGGGCAAATCAGTTTAACAGTGAGTACGACACGCCGCGTAGAGGCGTCGGGTTTCACGTGGGACTTTAATTTGATAGAACGCGCCGTGGTTCCCAGCAGTCTGACGCATGATTCGTGCAGACCGCCCTTCGCCACGCGCCTTGGCCATAGTTTGCTTTTTTCTTTCTTCAGAGCGACTCGTGTATAGTGGCTGCAAGTTATTTGTACGTCACAAAAAAAATTGTCAGTATTCTAAATTGCTGTAACTTTAAAACAAGATTGTACCGATTTTAACTGATATCTGATTAACGGATAACTTGATCGTTCTGAAATTGAGCTGATTTTAAAGCGCGAAGCTTCTAATTTTACGGTTTCGAGTTCGTCTTTTTCAAAAATCTTTTTACGTTATGTAAGACATGGAAAAGTGGGAATACCTTTGAATTATAAAGTCTTTTGAGTTATTAAGATTCTTCTTGTTTGCTGTTTTTTCGATTTTTTTTTGTTTCTTCTTGGGTATGGTAATTTTGGTAAAATCGAAAATGGAGAATTGGGAATTTTTGTTCGAAATGTGTCGTGTATTTGAATATTTTATATTTTGAGATGTGAGAATGGAGTAGGAAGTTTCGAAATAATAATTTGACGAATATTTTTTTGGAGAAATTGTCTTTTTTATTCTGTTAAATAAAAATGCAAAGAATTAATATTTGATTTTTATTCGCATCTTTGGCGAAGTCGTAAAAATAATTTCGTTCAATAATGTCGATTTATCATTAAAGTTATTCAATATTTTTCGAAATTGTATTATTTATGTGTATAATATGTTATAATTACTCTCGCATGGTATTTCGATATATGGTCGGACGTCATTGAATCAATGAAAACAGCAATATCTATAAAACGAAGAGTGTTATTTATATAAGATCGCGTGAAGATGTTACAAGGTAATTTAAAGTTGACATTATATTAAACTAAAATTTAGATCAACAACTCTGTTCCCTAATTTTATTTTGATGCAAAAGTTTGATGCAAAAGTTTCGACGTTCTTTTTTTGAGAAATCGAAAGTAGCGTTGTCTGTTCGCTGGTTAAGTATGTATATTCCTTCTTCCTTAAAACACGAGCATTGTTACGTTAATAACGATGTGACTGGTATGAAGTGTTTCAGTCTCAGTTCGAAGACTACCTGCCTTATCTAAGCGGTGCTGCGGGTGTTCTCGTAGTGACCGGAATTGCGGCTTACTTCGCATCAAGACCAAAACCGGAAAAACCACTGTGGCCTCTCGATGCTCAGTCCATATTACTTCCGGTGAGCAAACACCTTGACTCCCACTGCATTAATTATGGACTAGCATTTGTGGTGCATTGTAAAGAAATTAGTGAATACATATTTACATTCTAAATATCCATAGAGGAATCTGCTTGCTCTTTAGTAACTTTACTTATTTATAAATATTGTTTTAAAGAATATTTACAAAAATGACACGCAACTACTTTATCAATCTATTAAAAATAGCAATGATAAATCTAAAAACATTGCAGTATTCTCAAAAAGTCAATTTTAATTTTTATAATCACATTTTTGTTCTATATAAAAAATAATTAGAAATTTAATAACACGATATATATATATATATAGTATATATATATTATTATCAACATTGAATATTAATTTGAAGGAAAACGAGGAATCTAAATTATTTTAATGTCATTACAATAATAATTAACAATAGTTTATAATTCTTTTTTAGTGACAAAATGATCACTTACCGAAGCACCTAGCTCATTAAAATTTAATTTCACGATATTTCATATTAATATTAGTTTAACATAATCCCAATTCATCAATACAATATTCATTTCTCATATATTAACATATATTACAATTATCATAGGTCGAATCAATATGAAAGACGTTTCCCATAAAACTGTTCAAAACATACTAACACATCATGTTTCGCAATAATATCGGATTAGCGTTATAACTCACCTGAACGAGCAACGCGCCCAAACACATCGATCCATAAAAACATTAACCCAGCACTGAACCCTCTCCAACTAGCCACGTCAGAACTTCCGTTACCGTTACCTATCAAAACTATCATTCACTTTTCAAAACTTTCATTCCTACCGCAACCAACTCCATCCAAGGAGCATCCAACAACGATCCCACCCGTGTATCACGGTCGATGTCAAAGCCCGATGTTGATCGATTTTTTTCGCGGCTGGCGATCATCCAACAAGTTCGGTAGCTGTCGAGGACGACGCTCGCACCACCAGCTCGGACCACTATATTTAAATATAGTCGAAGATCGTCGTAGAGGATGGACGAACGGAGCTAGTCTTATGTGTGAGCTGCTGATAGCAGCCGCTCCTCTCGGTGGAGCAGCAGCAGCAGCAGCACCAGCATCAGTGCCTTTTAGTACCACATCTCTGACAGACAAAAGTAATCCGAAGTCGAAGTCTCTCGCGAAGAGAAGTCGAAGTGACGCGGCCGTGCGGGCCCGGTCTCGTCCATAATTGAAACGTGTCCCGCGGACAAAATCGTCTTAAGGTGAACGGTTCGTTCAGTCGGCCCGTGGACGCTGTTACGGGCTTCCTCTGTGCATCGTTCGCTGACGGTCCGAGATATGTCGTCGAGTTGTTTCGCACCACCACCCATTCGACCACCGATCGACCTCAAAGACCAGTCTGATACAGTCAAGGTGGAGTGTCAACGGTGATTCTTCACCGACATTTACTTGTACACCTTTTAGACTCTGTAATCGCCATCCTCGTCAGGAACGTGTCCCTAAAAACTCGATCCATTAAGACGTTGATCGATCTTAGGACATCAGGTCCTAGCTAACTCTTCCCTCTTCGATGAGAAATAGAATCGCGCTGCATTAAGATCATACGAAAACCGTTCCGACGAAATCTTCCGCTTGAAGTGGGTTCGCCACTCGGAACGGAGTTGTGTGGGTGGCTAGACTTGTTGCACAAGAGCGACTTGGCAGCCGACGAGGAGATTGAAACGTCGCGCACTGCCGGACACGGGAGCAGCTGGGTAGCGATATCGGTTCCCCATTCCTTCTCCGTTAGACGAAGTGTCCCAACGGGACGATCGCACTGCAGCGCCCTTTGAACTTCGCTGATCCCCGATTCCGCGCGCGATAGTTCCTATAAATACTTAGCACCCTGCACTTGGCATGCCGATTACGTAATCGAGGGATACAGAGAGATAAGTGGATTTCACGTGTGCAAAACGTTTTCCAGGGCACCGACCTGATCAGGGTGTCGAGGTTTTACAAGGACAGCAAGGAGGGAAAGTTCGCCAGCTACATTCACGAAGACACCAGGACCCTCTACGATGGCTTCCGCAGGGGTGCTAAGGAGTCCAGTAAGTTTTCTTCGGATCAGAGATGCAGTTCGCGGCGAAGCTACGGAATAAGCGTGGCTAGTGTTTTAAATAAACGAGCGGCAGCTCTCGGGACCAACCGTAGTAATGGACCGTTTGGCAAGTGGCTGCCTACGGTCACGTTCGCATGACAAACACGCTGCGCGTATCGCCGACAACTAATCGGCCCCGAGGATTTCTCGCGTTCACCCGCCCTGTGCTCGGTGATTTATCGGCGATTCCGCCGATTCGAGCACTCGCGACACCGCGACGTTCCGTGTCGTTTCGTTTCGTTCGCGCGGATTTCGCGTATTTTTAACCTAAGACGAGCCCACGCTCAGACCCATATGACCGCTAGACACCTGTCGTAGTCAGGGACGAGGCGGATGGTTCGAACTTCTTAACCCCGTGCCTTATGATTTATTTCTTAACTATGCTCGATATACCTACTTTATCGTTAACCACTTATTAGGAACAGAAACAATCTTGATGCTTGTTCTATGTTTATGTTTACTCCAGAAGGTTAACAACTGGTAATAGAAAAGTAATATTTAATTTATACTTGTAAAAAATAAATGACGCTTAGATTTCTCAAATTCAATTTAACATTTTCGTCACGAGTGATATTGTAGATCAAGGGGTTAACCTCTAGCATTAGGAATTTTGTTTACGTTTTTTTCCATGAGTTTGAAAATATTTTAAATATGTCGTTTGATAACAAAATCCTTTGTAATCGAGAATATTTTTCTTAACAAATATTCATTATTTTCTGATGATATATCAGTGATATTTTTTACGACCAACATAAAGAAACATTTTGCATAAATTGAGGAGTAGGACTAGTTTAATTCGATGTTCCATGTGTTGATACATTATATAAAATTTTATATTGAATTTATTTTATAGTTTTAATATTATAAAATTAATATTATAAACAAAATTAATTTGATAAAATTTAATATTATAATTTGGTTGGCTCAAATCAAATGGCGACTGAAACAAGCCTCTTGAGTGTACAGACTTAACAACTCATTTTTTCGTGTGACGAACAGATTGCTGATAATTTGAAACGGTAAAGTTAGTGATTTTCTTTGTGTATACTTCGTTTGTCTGCTGAGAAATCTTCGAGAATTGCATCATTTTTGAGAGTTTAAAGATATATTGGATGTGATGAATTATTAATAATATATTGTGAACTGTTTTCTTAGAAAGTAATTAATGACAAGGATGATGAAGTTTATTAAAATTTTATCTATACTCCATTATACGAAAGTTTGGAACCATTCCAATAGCCATATTTTATGAAAATAAAACAAAACACTAATATAATTCACTATCCTTTGCCTTTAGTAGGCACATTAAATACGGATTAAAAATGTTCAGTTTATTATTTTTTTAGAAGTTTGCACGTTAGCTTAAAATATACACGTGATCCTCAACTTTGGCAGACAATATAAACAGTGTGTACGTTGTGGATAGCAAGACTAGACATTACAAATATAATTTTAAATATGATTTTTATTTAATTCATTTATTTAGTTCCATCGCCTTAGTTAATTTTTTTCAAAAAATAAGGTTTCTCATTTGATGTTTTTTATCGAGTTTAATCATTACATACTTCGACGAAACAGTTGTCGATTATCATTCAGCAGTATTATCTGAAATAATGAAATATTTGACAAACAAATGTTTTTATTCGTTTATTATTATTTTAAGTAAAAGGTAATTAATTCTCCATTAAAGATAAAGTTCTAGAGCAATATACAAAAACAGAAATAAACAAAAATTCATATTGTACACATGTAACTTCATCATGTGTTGAATATATATTATATTCCATTAAATTTCCTCGTTCGTATGCTATAAACGCACAAGATGCATAGTCTAGTATGCAATCGAATATAGCTCAGGGTTGCAGATCCCTTGAAGCTTCCCCTTCATCTTCTCGGGGAGAATGTACACAATCCAAACGAGCGTTTATGAAAGAGCAGGGGCTCAAGATGTAGTATGAAAGAGTAGAAACGGATTTTGAAATATTAACACGTTCAGGACACTCTCTTTTTTTTCTCTCTTTTATGCGCAGCACATAATTCTAGATATTTTGCATATAATGACGAATAAGAACATTTCACATAATATGACACCAAGAATCTGTATTTAAAATTTTTACTTTTGTCGTGAAAATTAAAATTTTAAAATTCACTTATGACGTATGAATGAATTACTCGATTACATTTGAGAAAATTAGATGTGCAAGTTTATGAGGTTCCTAAGCTGTTAACAGATAGTAGCTTTTATTTATGTTAATACTTGAAAATCATGGAAACGGTCTTAAATGCCTCTCTTTAAGCACTAACTCATTTCGGATTAATAGTTAGCAAGCAATAAAATTGACGATAAAAAGTAACACCGTACCACTGCCAGCAACTATCGTAATAAGTAGATAGAGTGACGTACAGACGCGTTAATAAAATTGCAATGAATGGTAGGTATAATATGTCACATATTTTATACATCTATGTTCTAATAGACACTATATCATTTTATTTGCAAGTATATTGTTCTTCTGTTATTTATTGTTTGTTTTGTTCTCTATCGGACTTTTGTCAACGACGCAGGTAATGGTCAACAAACTAAAATGACTCACTCCCTTGAATATAATAAATATTCTCTATCATGTTCAAATTATTCCATAATTTCACGTGATTAAATAGCATAGTTATATTTATACACCAAGAAAATAGTTTGTGTATATTTATAAAAATGTCAATTTCTTACCCAACTTTTGATTCTTAAAATACACAAGATTCCACAGTTCACAAACTTACATAAAATATGGTAATTATAAGATGAATCGGAAAATCGATGAGCGGTCAATAAATATCGGTACTATATAATAGGCCAAAGCAAATATTTTCCCACAGCCACAGCTTTTCACGCAAAGATTATATTCAGAAAATTCAATTTTCAATTGAATCCCGTTAGATTAGGCCACCAAGAGCTACAGTGTTTATTCAAGAGTACGTAAATTAGAATTTCAAACAAACTGTCATATAACGGAAACGTGGATCACCATTTTCAAAGGAGACGTTAGTGGGCTTCGCAGCGTGTGCTTAAATCATCAAACAATTATACTACGTAATCACGATCATAAAGTATCATTCATCCCTTTGATACCTACGCAGCGTCATTTTCCAACATCTTCCTACACTTCCGGGAACTCTGCCTTGGATTTGTTGCTGTTACGCATCGGTCGATTTCCCGTGATTCTGAGAGTTGGCAGGTCCCACGTCTGCTGACAATTAACATTCCTGGACACCCGAGAATTGCGAGCTTTTGACAAGTATGCGTTTCGTTCCACCTCAAAATCCACTGGCTCTTCTTCTTAAGATTACATTCCAGACGCTAACACTGCATTAATAGGCCAGAATTCGCTGAAACCGAATTTAATCGACAGTAGCGCCAACTGTTAACCCCTTGCCCTATGATTTCTTTCCCAATTGAGCTGAACGGAGATATTTTATTGTTCATAATTCATTAGAAAAAGAGGACAATTCTATACTTACTCTATGTTTATTCTATGTCTACTCAGAAACATTACAATTAGTAACAGAAAAATAATATTCAATTCAGACTTAGAATAATTAAGTGATATTTATATTTGTTAAATTTTATTTGAAATCTTCACCACGAGTCTGATACGATATTATAGCGCAAGGGGTTAACACTGTTAGACGGTGGATATTGAGATATAAAGGGCTAAAGTCAAACGTAGAGCACCTATGTGGTTAATTTATTTTTCCAATGAAGAAATCAACGAGAAAGAAATGGTCACTAAAAGATGAACGAGTTGGGTATTCTTAATGAATTATTTGAGTATATTAGTAAGATGTATCTAAGAAAATATAAGATGACAATAATGTTCGTTTAGCGTAGGTAGCTTCGTAACGAAGAAGATATGTATGCAAAGTAATAAAAGTATTTAGAAAATAGAGGAAAAGAATTTTAAAAACTGTCGGAGAATTAATATTTTCAATAATTTAAATAACTTCAGTTTCAGTTAGAACAAGTAACTTACTTTCTGCATTTCTCCTTTGTGTGATTGTATTCCCCTTTCGTGAGTCGGTTTCTTTATCACCCTGTAGAACACTTATCCTTACACATTGTTGGCAACGGGAACAAATTAGTGAATATGTTCGTCAGTCTAAATTAGTGTCAGTTCATGCTAGTATCGGTTGAACTCGCTTTCGGTAAGTTTTGGCTAACCGAAACGGTGGACCCTGAGATGCTGATCTGAATTGCAGATCATGGTTTTGAAAGTGAAAATGAAGCTGAAGACATGAAAAGTGAGAACGAAATTGAGATTGAATTGAAAAAATGCGAATGAAATTTTCTGTGAGAATTTCAATTTTGGAAAAAGCTGTGACACGTGAAATTAATTGGACTTGAATTGTTAATATCTTTTTATTGATCAACGTTTCAAGTATGCAAAATTTACAATCTAAGTAATACCTAATTAAGTGTGAATTAGGGTTTTGTAATTCATTACTTAGCAATATATTATTATTGGTAGGAATATCCATTAATAATACCTTACCTACTAAAATTAATTAATATTATTAACCTCTCAATTAATTTCTAATTAATTGTGAATTAAGGTTTTGTAACTCATTATTTAACAATATAGTATTATTGTATAGGAATATTTAATAATATTATATCAGTGAAGGGTTAACATGTAAGAAAACACATGTGTACTTTACTCGTAAAATAAAGGTCTCCAATTTCAATGCAGGCATTCAGACATTTAAAATGGTTAATAGCCCCGAAGCGGGGTGAATCACCCTCCACAATTATGCACAGCGACTTATATAGTTCGCTATCATAAGTGGCCATAACCCGGGGCGAGTTTTGCTTCACTTTTCGAGCACTCTCCTCTTTTATAGCACCCGGAATATTTAACCCCTTGCCATATAATGAGTAACGAGACTCGCAATACAGATTTCTAACTCGATTTAACAAAAATCAATATTATTTGTGACATATTGGTTGAAATAAAAGATTATTCCTGTATTATATTCACTTTCTGTGAACTACTAATTTCGATGTTATTTAAAAATGAGGGAAAGGAAGATTTTCATTTACTTAAATAGTGCGTTCTTAATCATTTTCTATGCACAATATAAATTTTTAACTTGTGAATTTTTAGCGACAAATTTTTAGAACTTACGTTTTCTTTACATCAGTGACTGGTATCAATATTAATGCATTTTTTTACTCAAAAGTGTATAATATTGCAAGTAATACTTTCAAATCTACTCTATTACAACACTTTGAGCTTTAATTTACAGTTCGTCAAAGAATATATAATTTATCAAAATCGCCGTATTCGAGAAGAAAGCTGGGGGAATAAAAACTGTAAGAAGAACCATAAGAAAATTATAATTAGACTGTACATTTTTACTTTTTTAATAATATGAAGATCATATAAGAGTTAATTTTATATTTTATATAATTTTGTATTTGTTGTATTATCAAAAAAATAAAAATCCATAGCCTAACTAAAATTTTCTTGCACAATTTCCCCATTTACAAGCGCCGTGTGGCTTTATGAGAACGCGAATGCACTGTAAAAGGTGAAACAAACAAATTAGCTCCAAAAAAATGAAAACGTGATTAAGTCAAATAAACTCGAAAAACACAGCAGAGTTAAATTAGCATTAGAAATACCTAAGAATAAGGGAAAATGTATTATTAGGAAATCACTTGATGGCTATGGCTAATATTTATGTTTGGTATTTGTAAACTATTTTCTTAATTTACTCATTTCTCCTCAATTGAATTTTAGACATTTCCTATAGTTAATTAGATAATCTTTATTGGGAAAGTCGAAAAGTCAATTCAGAATATGCGACTAAACTTAGAAAATAATTTTAAGTTAACATTTCAAAAGCTGTCAATATTGTGTCAGACTCGTGACGAAATTTTTTAACTGAATTTGACAAATCTAAGTGTTATTTATTTATTTTTAAATATAAATTGAATATTACTTCTCTATTATCAATCGTTAACCTTTAGAGTAAACGTAGACATGGAATAAGCAGACGGAATACGGATACACGTAGCCAATGAAAAATATATAACTGTCAGCTAGAAAGACGCCTCTTGTCCCTGTGCGGTTCCGCTAAACAATAAGTCACCTCCCTACTGTACAATTTGACAGCTCTACAATAGCTAGCTAGTGAGACTCATTTTGAATTTTTAACGTGCAGACAATGGGCCGTGTCTCGGCTGGCGAGATGGACTCAACAAACCGTACCAATGGCTTCATTACAACGAGACTCTGCTCAGAGCGAAGAATTTTGGCTCAGGACTGGTATCGCTGGGTCTCTCGCCGGGTTCTCACACTCTCATAGGTCTCTACAGTCAAAATTGCCCCGAATGGATCCTCACCGAACAAGCCTGTTACACATATTCCCTCGTGGTCGTGCCCCTGTACGACACATTGGGTCCCGACGCCTGCGCCTTCATCATCAATCAGGCCGAGATCAACCTGGTCGTCTGTGAGAATGATAAGAAGTGCAACTTGATCCTCGACAAAGCGCCAAGGTATGTTAACCCGTTAACTGCGTTTGGCGAATGTACACGTCATCTTGAAGATTGAAACGATACTAATTCCCTGAACGATGAATTATTTAGTTTTTCAGATAAACATATAGTTCTTCTTTGTTTTGCTTTGATTTTTCATTAACGCTAAAACTACCGGACGGGTTAAATTGGACCACTCCAAAATTTTGATTATACAAGTATTTACGTTATGAAAGCATGTTTGTAAAAGATTTGAAATGAATTTGAATTTGTGTATTCGTACAGATACAAGACTAGGAACCCCTTCGAATCTCAAGACACGTATCGTTCTAATGTTTATAAAAAATTAGTAATAAGTCACTCTAACTGCTCGGTAGTTTTGGTATTAAAATATACGCTAGGTACATTCGTCCTGCGTTTAACGACTACACACTTCACATTTTTATTTCATTGCGCGCAAAACGGGAGACCTTTGAAACTAAATGCCAGAGTTAACAGGTTAACGCTTATTGTTAGCCAACCGAATAGAGAAATCTTTCACTTTTCCCTTTGCAACGCATTACCATTTATTTCGTTTATCTTTTTCTTTTGACATTTAGTAAATCTTTAACTGGGGATACTTGCAAATCAATAAATACCTTTGTTGCTGTTATGAAACAAAATTTTTAATCGAATCTGTTCAATTAAAGTTAATGACAACGGTTGTGGTTGTAGTTTGTGTTTGGACGGTTGTCCAAGTACCCTTAAGTGTTTTTAGACGGTTGCCTTTAAGCTTGATCTTTTTATTTAATGGAATAAACGTTTGCTTACCTCTGCAGTAGGAATAAATTTTTGAAGTTTGAATAAGTACCAATTGTTCTTGTAAACTTTCGTTTAAGGTGATTTCTTCTGGTTTTCAGTCTTTGGAATTATTATTAAAGTAATTTTGATTTATTTAGTTTACTCAATAGAGCAAGTTGATCAATGGTCCAATGAAATTGATTTCTTAAGATGTTTTAATTACGTTTTTTATCCTATGATTTTGATGCGTGGTGTCTTTTTTGTATAGAAACCTGAAATGTCACAATACTAGAATAAAAATTGGTATAATATATTTATATTATTACAAACTATTAAATCATAATCATTGCATATTTTTAAACTATCGAAATAAGGAAATGACAGTTACTTTGCTGATCAAGTTTATTAAACGCAACAAAAGGTACATGTGTATAGCAATTCAAATGCTTGCATATTTTACATGGATTTTGAGAATAGCAGTACCATAACCGAATACTATTAAATTAAATTGAATTAAATCGTGGACCAGGAAGTCCACTGGTTGTAGATCAAAATAAATATACACAGCAAAGAATTCCAATATATCTTCCAACGGATGATATCGCAAATTTACAATCTTAATCATTTAGAATCGTGATGCGTGGTATGTTATTGTGGCAGAATGCCACAAATGCATCTATACATATGTATATACTTTTCTGTACGTCGTCACCTATACGGCGTACAATTCTCACGTGGTATTCGAGACAAATTTAAATACTCCCGTGCAATGTCCTGAAGCGTTCCACCGAAATAGCTTGACTTTTTATTGTCGGTGTAACGTAAAAGTCGGAAAGTATCTGTTCACATTCCAAACATTACAACGCATTTCTACCGAAATTCTACTTCGAGATTACAATTACGCAATATTTGAAAATGATCAACAAATAACAATCTCTTGAAGCACATGATCGGAACGTAAACAGAGACACCGAATTCAAAAAGAACATTAATTTAAAAAAATTAATTTATACACGTGACAAAGTTTTATTATGAAACTTAATCATTCTGTTATTATAAAAGATTTCTAAGGTGTTAATTAAGCACGAAAAAGTGTAAAAAATTAACTTGAAGTTTCTCAGAGATGTAGATACGAAAGAAAAAAATTGTTACGTTACGTGATTGATGTATTAAGAAATGGAAAAATGTGAATAAATAACTGTAATGGCTGAAAGGATAAATTTCCTGTCGAAGTACGCACATTGTTTATGTTCGTAAGGCTTGTTAAATGGGTTTAACAAGTCGAAAGATTAATATCTTAACTCTTTCGTTTCGTTGAACCACATCATCGACTCCATTTCTCTAGAATGTAAAAATAAACAATCTGCTGGACGGAGGGTAAAAATATGCTATCTATTTTCGCGCGTGAAGCGAATCTGTACGTTCACCCGTAAATAAAACACGGTAGTACTGTTATTCAATTTATTATTTTTGTCGTGAATTAATTTGTAAACATAAGTACAACCTTGAAACAAGCTGATGCACTTGCCCACACATGAGACGAATACGTTACACTGTGAAGAAGTTTAAATGATCGTTGACATTGAGAATCACTGACAGTGGTTGGCGTCTCACGGAATAATTTTATTTTCTCAACTGAAAAGAAAGTCTGAAAATTTTCTTGTGAAAAATACCTTGCCCGTCACATGATGTAATCAACATTCGCTGCAGATCCTCAATTTTTAAAATAAACTGAAAGAATGTACATGTTCATAACATTACAAAAATATGTGTTATTTGATCTGGGAAAATCTATAGAATCAACTTCTACCAAATGTTTGTACATTTATTATAATGAAAAGAAAAACGAGCTATTTTTAAAGGATCAGTTACCAATTATTAAAATTCAAAATAAACTTTTCCTAGCGTTATTTAATATTCTCATTTAACTCAAAACAGTGAACACACCTACTTTAATTTCTATTTTCACGAAACCTAACAAAAAATCATATTAACCATAATTAAAAATAGTCTCTGTTACTCTATTCATTCAAATGCCTAAGAAAATTGGTAGATATTAATCGCAACTAAAATTATTCTTTATTATTACATTTACTCAGATGTCTAAAAAAATAGCAGATATTAATTGCAATTAAAATTGTTTCTCATTACAATATTCATCCAGATACCTAATGCAACAGTGAATACTGCACACAATTAAAATGACTGTCCACTATTGCGTTCATTCAGATGCCTACGAAACCTGGTACATATTAATCATAACTAAAATTATTCTTCGTTACAATATTTACTCGGTCACCTAACACAACAGTGAATATTACTCACGATTAAAATTACTGTCCACTATCGTATTCATTCAGATGCCTAAGAAAGCTAGTGGTGATAAGAGAGGTACGTCCAGCAACGATCCAGAGGGCGAAGAACCGCGGCGTCGAGCTGGTAAGGTTCGAGGACGTGGAGCGTCTGGGCGCGCAGAAGAACCACCCCGAGCTGCCGCCGAACGTGAACGACCTGTGCACAATATGCTACACTTCCGGCACCACCGGGAACCCGAAGGGCGTGATGCTGACCCACCAGAACGTGATGGCCGGCGTTTGCGCGGTGCTGTTGCAGTTAGGCGAGCACAAGCCCTCGTACAAGGACACGATGATCAGCTTCTTACCTCTGGCACACATGTTGGAACGGTGTTGCGAGAACGGCATGTACATGGTGGGCGGGTCCGTGGGCTTTTACAGCGGTGACATCAAAACATTAGCCGAGGATATGAAAGCCTTGAGGCCTACCGTGATGCCAGCAGTACCGAGGCTCTTGAATCGGATGTACGACAAGGTGAGTGCAGGCTGGCTTGTGAAACTCAGCTGAGGAGTTTCCCAATCGCCCTCCCCACACCCCCAGCTATGTATTCTGATCTTTCCGACCACCTGGTGCACGCGAATATTCTCGCACAGAGATCAGAGTACTTTCCTTAACATTAGACTACCAGATAACTCTAAATTACCTATCTGAACATTTCTGTTTTACAATTGAATAATCGGGTGTTAACACGTTCGCTACCAGCGTCTCATATTTGCGACGGCCGTAATCCTATATTTTACATAATGAAAATGATATTAATCCCATAGATATTATTATTAGAAATTATAAACTACGACATTATATGTAGGAACTTAATGACTTGTTTCAGTTTCATTTTTCTAATATTTTGTTTTGAAGATTTATTGGATTGAAGAAAATAGTATAACTGAAGAGACCGTCGCCGAAATAAGCGCTGGTAACGAACGTGTTAAGTCAGTTACGCCGAGCAATCTGTCAAGAATCGAATTTCTTGAAAATCGTGTAACGTCTAACATAAATAGTTCCACTTCGTTTGTCGTGAATCCCGAAAGAGCACGAGTCCACTTTTTAACGTTTTCTATGTGAGTTACCGATTAAACTGTTTTTCTTGTTTAACCAGACCTATTTAACCTTGATCAGGCATTAGCGTCTTTTTCGATACAAATCGAGATTCATTTTTGCTGTGATATTTTTATAGCGGTAGATGAAAGTTAATGGTATTACAAATGTAATGAAGCTGAATGGGTAGCTAATACTTGTAGCGAGATTCAATGAAATAGATAATAAATGAATGAAGATGAGAAGAAAGATTGATTTTCTCGAGATGTTAGTTGGTTGACTCGTGCCGTTTTGAAATTCGTGGATTCAATTATTGAAATCATGAAAATGATTTTGTGAGATATTCTGAAGTATACTTTTGTATATAGATACAATGGTAAGACGTGATTCGTATCTTAAGAAATATACTCTTTTAACTGGTAGTATATTACTTTCTATAGTTAATACTTCCTAAATAAGTGATTTTAATTGCTTGGTAGTTCTAGTGTTAGGCACGTTCGAGAACGACGAAATATTATATAAGGTTCGAACAGTGGAAATGTTTCCGCTAAAATGAAGAATTTTTTAGATTGTTTGTATGAAAGTAGGAAAATTGATTGTTTTAGGACTTTAAGGTTTTGTTGTAATAGATGGATGAGTAGGTTTGTCCTCCTTTTATGTTCGTACTGATACTGCTTCTGTGGAGGTAGGTGTAATTTGTCGATGGTTCCAATCTTAACACCTTATCCACCGTAAGCTTATTAACGCATTGTTAACCGATCACGAGTTAATTCGTGTTTACACTTGCATTAGCCACTTCAATTTTTGAAACACAGGACAATATAGAATATTGCAAAAAGAAAACATTCAAAGTTATATCAAAGATACATCGAAAATTACATTTCAATTCATTATGTACAAATAAAGTATATTGAAGTTTATTTAGATCGTCTCCCTTTTATATTTAATTACGAAATAATAATTGGTGACATGGGATAGCTTCTACGTAAAATTATTGATCGGCTTTTCGATTACAGATGCTTATCAATGTATTGTCTATTAAAAATACTCTGCTTTAAAACAAAAGAAAACACAACGACATAACAAGATTTCCTTGCATTTTGATTTTAAAGTTACAGAGTTTAGCAAGTAAAAATATACACTCCTACTGATTAGCGAAAACCATATTGTTAACTAATGAATAGCCGTCTCAATCATCAGGAGCAGTGGATAAAGTGTTAACGTATTGTTTGAAACCTGCAGATTCTTGTGCAAAATTTAAGCTTCAAAGATTTTTTTTATGAACGCAGCGTAAAGCGAAGATTTCGTCTGCTAACTGAACATTTGTCTGTGATAAAAGAATTATAAATGCTCTACATTTTGAAAATTTTTTGGCGTTAAAACTGCATAAATAACCGCTGTCTCTTAACCAAGACTGGTGCCAGGAAACTGATGTTGATCCTTTCTATGTGCAAACAAATGTTAAGAAAAAGAATAGTTTTTGGAGAATAAAATGATTTTTGTTGGTATGATAAGGAAGCTTTTTAGTTCGATTTAAAAATACATAAAAGAAGAAGTTCTTTCTGAAACATAATTGATGAAAAAGCTGTTCGCCAAGTCATTAGCTAGAGTATTTCAGTAACCTAAGAAGTAAATGTTACTCTAACTAATATAAGATTCTCAGCTGAAGAATACTGATAATTATTGTTTTAATGAATAATGAAGTTTGGTTTTTGAGAACTGTGATTCAAAATACAGGTAATACAGACATCTGATAGGAAAGATTCCATCTGATGAATTGCAATGTTAAGATAATATCGAAAGGTAAAATTAAGTACAATTAAAATAAAAATTAACGATTCAGGATTCATTCATACTTGGAATATAATAACTTCAATAATATTTGTTGTTAAATTCTATGTTAAACAAAAGGTATATTTCCATTACGTTAAAAAAATTTTCTCTGTGAAATGTGTAATGCATTTATACATAGGTGCAAATAAAACAAAAAATCATAAAACTGTAAAAACAACCATGCTAAATGATTGATAAAAAGTTACGTTTCACAGAAATGTTCGAATTCAACTTTGTGCGATGTAAATTTTACCTCGAAGGTATCGTCGGGTAGTAAGATATTTTTGCGCTCGACCACGCGACAGAGCGCAAGGTTGCAGGTGTTAAGTAATTTACGCCGAGCAATCTATTAAGAATCGAATTTCTTGAAAGTCATGCAACGTCTAACGTAACTCGTTTCACTTCGTTTGCCCAAACTAATTTGATGGACCGTCCGCTGTTTGACCGTGATGACGGTGCATCTGATGGACAGCTGCATTAGCGAAAGCAATCGGATGTGTAAACAGAACTCAATCACTAACGTTTCTATGTACGCAGAATATGTTCCACATTTTCATTGCCACTTCTGAGTACAACAATAATTTTTTAAACTTTCATTCCAACATTATTCAAAAATATTATAAAAATATTGTATTCCTGCATAATTCTTAGTTTTCAGAATTCTGTAACCTCTTCTCCTGTAAATTATTTTCTAAGTTTATATGTACAATAGAAGGAGGCACAGAAAAGCATATGGCGCTAAATTAACTTCATAATCATTATCCAAAAAGTCGAAAAGTCAATAAAAGATAAATGATGAAAACTAAAAAATAGTTTTACATTAAATTGTATTTTTTAACACGGTCGGTAAAAATAGTGTTAAATTAAATTTTGTTATTTGTAGATAAATTATAGCGTTACCACAAACGTGTCAAAAGTGACTACCGGATATGTCAACCCCTTTTCCTATAATATAGAGTCAGATTCGCGATGAAAATTTTCTATCGAATTTGACAAATCTAAATGTTATTTATTTATTTTTTGTATAAATGAAATATTACTTGTCTATTATCAATCTTTAACCTTTAGAGTAAACGTAGATACGGAGTAAGCATCAAGTGTATAAAGGATATTTCTTTCTTCATTTTATACTTAGTTTTAGTTTAACCAGTGAACAATTGAGAACTCTTCTTTTTATTTCTTACGAAAAAACGTCATAACTTTTGCATCAACTCAATAATCACATTTTACTTTATGCTTTAAATGGTCTCTGGAATTGAGATTAAGTGTACACAATCTGGTGCTCTGGCAAACGTAAATCGGAGATACAAAACAAATACGATAAAACAAGTGAATGCGAAATCCTCGCGAGCGTAACCCTGAATTCCCGATGAATGGAATGCGTGCATTGTGTGTGCAGCAAGTCCACGTATTATATTTATCGTGTTACATGTTTCCATGTTCCTCTTAACCCTTTTTTTCGTACAATATATTAAAGGATTTGAAATCGCTTATGAAAAGAGACTAACAACGAATAATTATTTGATAATTATAAAATAATTTGTTTATTTAATAATTATAAAGATAATTATTTAAAGAAAACATTAAACATACGTGAATAAACAAAGTTTAAGTATCACAATCATTTATGGAAAGCATTCATATTCTTTTATTTTATTTATAACTACATTTCTTAGGAAAAACTAAACTTTAATTTAAATATTGATTTTATATTATATTTTTGTTAGAAATAATAAAGAACTAGATATTTGAAAAGTAAACTTTATTTCATTAATTTAAAGTGTAACGAAGTAGTATCTCGTATTTCTAATTTTAAAGTTGTGGAATGTGTAACAAGTGATTTCTGTGAAAAAATGTGACTCGATTCTCTTCCTGGATATACTACTCATAAATACCTGCTAAAATTACCTCGTGGCATGATTTTGTCTATGGCCATAAACGAGCACATCGTCATTGAGATGGTAGTGTAACAGCTGATGATGAGTCAATATATTCTTGCAATTTGATTCACGTGTAAAGATTTTACAGTTATAGACTTCGAGACTTTTGTATTGATAAATTTACTGTTTAATATTTTCTATGTAAATAAATATCTAGGATTCATATTTTCATTCAAACTGACAGTGTTAATAAGGAAAACGCTTTGTTATAATTTAATACATTTCTATATTTGTTTCATACAAAAATATGAAACCTTAACAATCTTGAACTACAATTAAAGTTAAAATTTGAATATACATTTATACACAAAATATTATAACTTTCCTAAAAGTATAGATATAGATATATAATACAATAAATAACTACATTGAAATTTACATTCATTTCCAACAAAATCTTTTATGCAGGTTTTGATAACGAAAATTTTTATAAATCACACGTGATTAAACTTATACACGTATCCGTACTTAAAAATGATCCTCATGCCAAATCCCATTACCAACAGCGTTTTACAAATAAATCAAGATCCATTACCACTATTAATCTCACGAAATGTAAATTTATTCCCAAAGGGTGTCAGAGAAATTCCGTAATTGCTCGTGTCTACAACAACAAACTGTAAATCTCATTCAAGGTGGCCGTTCCACAAAATCCATGATGTTAATCTAATTCTCGAACGAAACAATGCACGGACGAAAATAGATCTCGGCCGAACGGCAGGATCACGTGCAAAACCAATTTTCCTCGTGACCGAATAAGCATTCCAAATAGATCAAAGCGGCGGCCCAAGGAAATTTCTCTGGTTTCAAAACCGTCGGAGTTGATTCCAGTTGAATACCGTGTCATCCATTAACTCCAGATGTGCACGTGGTCGAGTTTTCCTTCCGTGGAACTTGTAAGCGTTTAACTCATAAACTGATTCCTCAAACAGACCGACATATATCCGCAGATTTGGCAATGTTCTCTGATCAATCATAGATCTAATTTGAACTGGTCAACTCAATTAAATATACAATTGAAGTCGTGAATCTCAAAATCGCACAAATCCATTTTTAACGGTTTCTATATGAGTTATTGATTTAACTATTTTTCGCTTGTTCAGACCTATTTGACCTTGACCAGGCACTAGGGTATTTTTCGACACAAATCGAGATTAACTTTTGCTGTGACTTCTTTTAGCCTCTTGCCCTATGATTTATTTTTTAACTGTGACAGACACAACAACTTTGTCAGTAATAATTTATTGAGAAAAGAGAAAAATTCTATGCACATTCTATGTCTACGACTGCCCTACAATATAATAATTGATAACAGAAGAATAATATTTAATTTGAATTCAAGGGAATTGAGTAATATTTATGTTTGTTAAATTTTATTGGAAATGTTCACCACGAGTCTCGCACGTTATTGTAAAGTAAGGGGTTAAGGACTGGAAGAAGGTTACTAATATTACAAATGTACACGTAATAAAGGTGTATGTATGTACGTGAATGTTTGCAGCTAGAATCAATAAAGTAGATAATGAATGAATAAACGAAGATGAAAAGAAAGATCGATTTTCTCGGAATATTGATTGGTTGACTGACTGACATTTAAAATTTCGTTTACTATAGGTTTTTGATAGCCACATGATACTTTTGTATGTAATATAATTGCAATTTAATTTTTGCTTAAGCCCAAACAGTCCTAATTAATATGTAAAAAGAATAGAAAAGTTAATAGCAGTATCAATTGAATTAAGTAAATTGACAAGGCATCACAAGAATAAAATAATAAAATATATAGGTTGATAAAATCTGTTCAATTTCTAATGATTGCATTTGTTATCAAAACAATAATTAAAAGCATAAAGCTCACTATTTCACCTATACCTATCCTAAAATAATGGAATCTAAAATAAGTATACACTTGGTTGTAATCTCTTCGTGTTTTGAAGCAATGAAAACTAACTCTGCCTTACAAATAAAAGTAATATAGTATATTATGGAGTGTCCAATAAAAATAAATAAAAATTGTTATCACTGAAAAACATGATTTTCTACTGAAGGGTTATATAGTTACATAGAATTGATAATTGTCGGTCTCGATCGATGTTTACAGGTTCAAACGGAACTTCAGAATTCTTGTATGAAGAAAATGGTGTTCAGCATGGGGATGCGGGCGAAAGAATCAGAGATCAAAAAGGGTATCATCCGAAACAACAGTATTTGGGACAAAATAGCCTTTGGAAAGATCAAAGAGTCGACAGGTGGAAGGTTAAGACTGATGGTTGTGGGTTCTGCACCTCTTGCCGGAAATGTGCTCACATTCGCGAGGTGTGCCCTCGGTTGCTTGATCGTTGAAGGATACGGTCAAACAGAGTGTTGTGCGCCAATTACTCTGACGATTCAGGTATGTATCGAAATTATTGTTATTAATAAACTGCGAATTTTATGGTTTATTATATCTGAATATTAAATGGGTTTATATTATATGGATTTATACGTATATAGATCGATATCATATTAATTTATATGTACATAGATCCATACCATACGAATTTATATCATACACATACTTTAACGTAACAATATAATCCATTAATGAATTATTACATTAACCATGCAAGCATATAGAATAATAACAAACAAATGCGGTAATATACATTTCATTAGACACGTATTTATTAATAAATTATTTTTGCTGTCTCGAAATCTTTGTTAAAAAGAATAATCTTTATAAAAAACTGAAAGGCGAATCAGAAAATAAAAAATGACAGGTTTTTATAAAAGAAATAGAATTTTTGGAATTAATGAATAATGTGTTATTGAACAGAATCGCTTGAATTATAAATATTAATACAGGTACATATAGTTATATACAACTGCTTTTAATTGTGACTCGAACAAGTAACGTTACAATAGAATGCAAAAAGGAAAACCAAGTTAGAACGTGTTGACATATTTTTCCATTTAACACTAAAACTACTGTACCCGTCAAAATGACAAGTTTTAGTTTTCTTATTTTGCAATTACTGATATTTTTAAAGTACTTAATATCCGAAGTGAGTTTGAAAATAAATAGTTTCACTAAAATGTTATAAATAATATCAGAAAAAATGTTTAAAAATGTATTGTTACAATCTTTAAGGATTATATTTATATTAACCCCAATAAATACTCAATAATTCTAATATTAAAATATATAGCTACAGTGCATTACTGACGTGATCCCAGCCGGCCTGTGGCTTAGCCCTTTGCACTCGAGAGGTGACTCTCATTCGCCACTTGATTTCATACAGTAAAATTATACAATTTAATATTTAATATTATACTCCGTATAATGCAGCAATTTGAGAAATATGAAAATAAAACAGCTTTGTTCCTCAATGTATGTGTATTTGTATGTGTATTTCTCGTCAAGTTAGTTTCACAAAATATCGTCTTTATCTCATTAGAAAATGTTAAAATATTTCTATTGAAAAACTTCCGAGTGCAAAGGGTTAAAAGAGAAGAGGGGCAAGGGGAGACGTCCACTAGCGACGCTCGGCCCAATAGTAATGGTCGAATTAGTTTCGGCATGTCTTTGTTAGTGGCCAAGTCACAAGCTAAGGTGGAGCGTGCGGCCGAGTCCCCTTGCCCCTCTTAACTTTTAAACCAGTGGCCGGCTGGGATCATGTCAGTAACGCTCTGTACATGTAGGTACCTATTTATTTGTATTTTAATAAAGAGGGCGGTCAATAAACGCTCCAAAAATAAATGACAATGCATACACAGTGTTTGTCAAATAAAAAACATCTAACCCAGACGGTTTAATAACCAAATCGCCCCGATTAATGAGTTCGATCTCGTTATTAAGTTCAATTATTTCGTATTACAAATTGTTTTCACTTACGATCTTAGATCTATAACTATTGTAGCATTAACACTCGAAAAACTTGGCTCGAAAAACACTGAAAACAAGATTGCAAAAGTTAAATGTATTATTGTCTTCTACAATTTTCAACGATGTGGCAAATGTATATAAAAGAAATAAACGGCATTCGATTTACTTTATTGAAATCATTCACGAGATTGTTTCAATCGAGGACTGACTAATGATCAAGTGACACACATGGTCACTATTTCTGTCGTGTATCTGCAGATATCGATGTGCCTAGACGACAAAAGCTAATATTTATAGGTAATAGTCGTAGATATTTGTGTCTGCTGGCCGAACAGAAAAATTCTACAACCACGCGCCAAAAGCACGTGGCTGGCCACGTCAATTGTGCGATCAGCCGTACGACTATAATACGTAAATCGTGCATGCAACTGCAGTTAAACGTTGCATCGTTCGCGCACGGTCGCCAATGATCGTAACAATACATGTGTGTTCTGGTCAGGCGACTGAGACTGTTTAGAAACGTTCCACGTTTTGCAACACAGTACCACAAGTTAGAACAACTGAACTGTTAATAAACGTTTCGAAAGTTTGCTATGATAGTTAAATGAATTAACTTGATCGTAAAAGCAAATTTACAATCATAGAAAATTCAAAATTACCGAATAAAAATTGATCATTAAATGTTTTTTTTATATTCATGAATAGTTACAATTGTTTACAAACGAATTCAACTATCTTAAAAATGGAATACATTTTATAGGGAATTATAGATACGAAAAGTAGAATTGTAAAATTAAATTTTAAACATGTTTGCTGCACGTTACGTACACTTATAGCCGAAAATTTAGAATTACACTGTGAATTCATGGAAATAGATGCGCTTGTTAAATGAATAAATTTGAGTAATTACAAATAATTGCATTAATTTATAGAAGGTGAGATCTAAAAATTTCGGTAGCTGTTTCTAAAAATATTAGCTGTGTGTCAAGAGAAACTTTGTCACGCGGTATAATTTTATCAAAAGCCAGCAAGTGGTTCCAAACGTTTGGCTGGTAGTGTATGCGTGTATGAGCATTGCTGTTTTGCATTAAATAATCAAATGATGTTTTCGCATCTTGTTATTTGTAGAAGGAATTCACGATAACGACATTCAGAGAACTCATTGAATGATTTTTTATCTTTGAATATCTTATTAAAGAATTACAGTGAATGAGAGATCGGAAATAAAGTTTGTAAATATTGATTTTGGAATGGATTGCATTCATAAACATTTTAAACAAACATTTATTTAACATATGCTTTCACAAGCGATGCTTTCCGGTACAATGCTTTGACGCATAGAATTATTAGAATTATTTGATTATTTGCATAATTTTTAATATCATTGAAAACCGTACATGGTAGCTTTATAGTAGCAATTTTGTTGTTGTAGATATTTTCTTTATAAATACAGTGTAAATATTTGCGTGTACATTGATTTGTGTAAACTAAATTTATAAATGTAGGAACTGAAATTAAACCGACTATTGTTTATTACAGATTTTCTCAAGTTTCATTCGATTATTCGATTTTTTAGTAAATCGAATATAAGTCAAGCGTATATAGTGTGTACTATAAATATATAAAATCTATAGTCTTACTACGATTTTTATACTTCAAACCTTCTTGTCCATTTGTGTTTGGCATTTTTTCAACATTATTACACGTTTAAGGGTTTAAAGTATTCAAACGAAATTGAATCACGCGTTATTTTCAACAACGTATTTTCTTTTTATTTACATTAAAAAATAGAATGCACCCAAATGTAGATTAAAATTATTAGATAATAAAGTCACTAATTTAAAGTGTAGTACTTAATTCAACACAAAACAGTCCATGAAAAAATCAAGTGTAGATTAAAATTATCAGACAATATAATACTAGTTTAAAGTATTTAACTCAATAAGAAACAGTCTATGAGGAAATCTAATGGTGACGAATATTTAAATGCTTGCATGAACCCACGAGAATTATTTAATACAAAAATAAAATTATAAGAACACAAGAATATTTAAAAGTATTTTAGATATTAATTACCAAAATAAATATAACAGAGCACGTGATTAAAACTTGAATTGCAAATATATATTAAAAAGACTATTTAATCTCCCTGATGTAATTTCCTTTCCCTAAAAGTTATACTTGCGACTAACACATTTCTTGAATTCAACTAGGCTTCTACTATTATTTAATCAAACAAATACACTTACATTATTCACATTCATTGTTATACTAACTAGAGAACATTCTATTCCCAAAAGGGACATTCCATTTATGTAACAAATGTTTTTGAACGTTATGATAACATGTGCAATTAATTTTCAACCTCTCATGCCCATAGTTAATCAGCCATTTAAAGCTATCGAAGATCTGCCATCTTTAAATGGATAATTGAATTTGATTGAATTTTACTAATTAATATCATGAAATCTTATTTATGGTTTTGCAACTATCACAGGGTGACCATGTACCGGAACACGTAGGACCACCGGTTGCTTGTTGCTGCATTAAATTGGTGGATGTCCCGGAAATGGAATACTACGCAAGAAAGAGCCAAGGTGAAGTGTGTGTGAAAGGTACTAACGTATTCATGGGATATTTCAAGGATCCTGTAAAAACCGCTGAAGCTATCGATGAATTTGGATGGCATCATACAGGGGACATCGGCATGTGGTTACCTGTAAGATAAGAAACATTAAATCATACCTTCTGTTCTGTTACAATACTTCAGAACGTCGTACCATTTCCATACTCTGTCTTCAGTTTTTATTTCTACTCCAACATTTTATGTATTTCATATAACAATTCGTTTTAATCGTTAATCGTTTACACGAGTTTTCTTCTTGCAGAACGGAACGCTCAAGATAATCGATAGAAAGAAGCACATCTTCAAGTTATCGCAAGGGGAATACATAGTTCCAGAGAAGATTGAAAATATTTATATGCGCAGCCAGTATGTACACCAAGTATTCGTCCACGGGGAGTCCCTCAAATCTTGCGTGGTAGGCATAGTAGTGCCGGAAGTAGACGTTGTTAAATGTTGGGCAGTGGAGAACAATATTGCGGGTACGTTAAGCGTATTATGCAACAATCCGCAAATCAAACAGTTAATCCTGGATGACATGCTCGCGTGGGGAAAAGAAGCTGGCCTCAAATCCTTTGAACAGGTAAACAAATTTATGCTTGGAGAATTTGATCGTTATGAGAATCACAAGAAAATTAAAAAATTAAACGTATGCTGATTATAAAGAGTCAGGCTGCCTTGAAATAACGAGAATATTTGAAAACATGCGACTTATTCGGAAATGCTGGAATTACTGTAATTTGAACTGAAAGTGAAATGACACTTCTAATTCCGTTTCCTTTACTGTCAGGTCAAAGATATTTATTTACATCCGGATCCGTTCTCCGTGCAAAATGGCCTCCTCACACCAACATTGAAAACAAAGCGACCCCAGTTGAAAGACTACTTCAAACCACAGATAGAGGATCTCTACCGACATTTGGACTGACCAGACTGAACATTCATTTTGATTTGTTTTCATTAGCACCGGGAGCAGCGAAGACAGGAAGGATCGAAATGCCTTTGTGTCGCGTCCACTGAAGTCACTTCCGTCATCGAATACGTTCGTTATTCCGCGTTAACTTTTATTATATCATTTTCACGATTGCATAGCAACGCAAGAAAAAAGAAAGCACCGTTTTAGGCTATTAAGGTAATTTGACAATATTATAAGTAATAAAAATGAGTTATTATTAGGCGCGTCTGATTTACCCTTAACTATAATCATCCCCCGATACTTTTCACGTCTAGCTAAATCTTCTCCGACTCTTATCTTTTTATTTTGATACGGATTATTGCCTAACTATAGATGTATATTTTTATCGATAACATTAATCATGTCGGATCCTGGATTTAGTACGAAGTAAGATACTCGAACGTTAATGATCGAAATAAACTTAACGTTTGTCGATTTGCAAATTTCACGTAGTAAATAAATTGCAATGTAGGTAACTAGAATATCGTGAATATGATTTTGAATATTTGTAAACCTTTAGAACATTTACTTATAA